CGCGTAGACCTGCTGCTCTCCCTGTTACAGAGGAGGATGCGAGAGGGGCAGGTTAGTCAGTTAAACCGTTATTTGTCTCACATGGTTACTGTATTGTGGTATTTTTCCATGAGAAAGGCAATGCCTATTTTTTTTTTTTTTAACTCCCCAATACAGAAGAGAAATGGGTTTTCCCAGGGCTTTGCTCAGAGTGGAGAAATGGCCATGAATTCCCGGTCTTTCCAACATGTCTGCTATTACCTGGGGGTCTTTCTTGAGTTCATTTCATTATTAGTTGGTTAATTGAGTTTTCTCTCAGAGAAAGCAGGTCTGAGCTGCATTCTTTTCTGTGTATCAACTCTTGTAAAATCAGTTCTGAATTTCCAGTATCTGCTTTGTTAATCTCCAGTTGGTGAGTGTAGGGACATAAGCTTGATAGCGATTCGAAGTCTTTGGGTTACAATGAGTCATGCATGCTTAAAATATATATGTGTGCGTATATATGTACATATATGTATGTGTACGCCTCTGTGTATATGCGTGTGTATGTGTACCTGTGTGTGTTTGGTTGGGCTGCTATAACAGAGTACCACTAACAGTAACTTAAACAATAGGAATTTATTAACTGACATTTCTGCAGGTTAGAAGTACAGAGTCAAGGGGCACCTGGGTGGCTTAGTGGGTTAAGCCTCTGCCTTCAGCTCAGGTCATGATCTCAGGGTCCTGGGATCGAGTCCCACATTGGGCTTTCTGCTCTGTGGGAAGCCTGCTTCCTCTTCTCTCTCTCTCTGCTTGCCTCTCTGCCCACTTGTGATCTCTCTCTGTCAAATAAATAAAATCTTAAAAAAAAAAAAAAAAGAAGTACAGAGTCAAGGCATGGGCGGGGTTGGTTCCTTCTGGTGTCTCTGAAGGAAGGATCTGTTCCAGGCCTTTCTCCATGACTTGTAGACAGCTGTCTTCATGCTCACATGGCTTTCTCCCTGTGTGCATGTCTGTGTTCAAATTAACCCTTTTTATAAGGACGCCAGTCATATTGGATTTGGGCCCACCCTACTGACCTCATTTTAACTTGATCACGTCTATAAATTCCCTCTCTTCAAATAAATCACATTCTGAGGTACTGGGGGTTGGGACACCAATATGTGAATTTGGGGAGGATGCACTCAACCCATAACTCACTCTCTCTCCCTATATCTATGTATATATCCCCCTTCTACACATACACACACACAAACACACACGCAAATATAGTTCAATATGTGCTATATTTCTATTAAATCTTAATGACATTTTAATATGTGGGCCTAATAATCATAGAGCCATTGTTGCATAACATTTCTGGAAAGTAGTGTTTTTGTCTAGTCTTACTATGGCCTCATAAAGTTGACTAATTTGTCTGCAGCAGAAATAATAGAATCACATCTTATCCTTCCCTGTCTCCAGTCTTGTTTCCAGATGCTCAGAATCTTGTCTCCTTGTGATGATAGAGGAATTACCATATTTTAAAAATGACTTTTTAAAAAAAGATTTTATTTGTCAAAGAAGAGAGCACAAGCAGGGGGAGCAGCAGGCAGAGGGAGAGCCTGACACAGGACTCGATCCCAGGACTCTGAGATCGTGACCTGAACCAAAGGCAGATGCTTAACCATGTGTCCCTAAAAATGACTTTTAGAAAAACAAATGGAATCCAAATAGAGCGTGGAGTTTAGTAGATTCTAATGTATTTATATCACTTCATTAATTGTGACAACGAACAATAAAGTTGTACCATAGTGATCTAAGGGTTAACAACAGAGAAAACTGGGTAGGCGGGATGATGGGAACTCTGCACTGTCTTTGCAACTTTTCTTTTTTTTACAACTTTTCTAAATCTAAATCTGAATCTAAAACTATTCTAAAATAAAATGGTAATTTTTTTTAAAGATTTTATTTATTTATTTGACAAAGAACACAAGTAGGCAGAGAGGCAGGCAGAGAGAGAGGAGGAAGCCGGCTCCTGGCCAAGCAGGGAGCCCGATGCGGGGCTGGATCCAAGGACCTGGGATCATGACCTGAGCCGAAGGCAGAGGCTTTAACCCACTGAGCCACCCAGGTGCCCCTAAAATGGTTATTTTCTTTTTTAAAGATTTTATTTATGAGAGAGAGAGAAAGCACAAGTCGGGCAGGGAGGCAGAGGGAGAGCTAGAAGCAGACTCCCCACTGAGCAGGACACCCCACTCCATTGGATCCCAGGACCCTGGGATCATGAGCTGAATGAAGGCAGATGCTTAACCAACTGAGCCACCCAGGCCCCCCAAAAGGTTAAATACTAAAAAACCTTTTATGATATAAAATATTTTCATGTATATATTAAACAGGTTACTAACACGGTAGTAAGAACGGTCATATAGTTTTATTGTTTTTATGCCATTGCCTATCTTTTCATATAGAGGAAGGGATTAGATGTGGCCTCTAGAGGACAGTGTTGGGTCATAGAAAGATTTTCACGATCTGCCTGAGATGAAGATGCATTTACTTATTTCTCTTCTTCCTTTGTAACCACAAGCCGTCTGTTGATTCATTATTCCTCTTTGACTTTCAAAAAAAGTCAAAGAGAATGTATGCCTCCTCGGCTATCCTGATCAGCTGGAGATCTGCTTTCACTTGCTGTTTTTGTGCCCTCTTCACAAATAGACGGGGCCAGAATGCTTGCCATTTTCACCCCTGCGTTCAGAGCACTGGGGGCTCGTGGAAGTCCTGTGGGAGCCCGGGGACCACTACGGGGCACACACAATGTGCTGCGAATTCTCGCATGGTGGAGAGAGTGCTAGAGAGGTGACTTCCCTTTGGAAACACTACAGACCGTTTGTAGATGGATGAAGATGCTCATAAAACACAGCGGGGGGGGGGGGGCCAATTTCCCAAGGTCAAGACTGTTTGCCCTGCAGTGATTGGTGGGGGGGGGGGGGTGGGGGTAGAGAAGGAAACAAACCATTCGCCTAGCTTCCAAAGCACATTTCTGGAGTCATCAGCATAGAAACTCCCCATTTTAATTTAAAAATTATCCCTCAACAATGAAATCTGTTACACTGAAAAGAAATTAAATAAAAATAAAAATTATCCCTCCAAAGGTCATCTCATGGGATTGACATTTTATTTTAAAGAGGCTCCAGGGGTAGGTAGGTTACGGAGTGTGACTCAAGCACATCAGGGCCAGATGAACATTAATTTGCAAAATCTTGCCTCATACGTAGAGGCAGCTGAAACAATTGTTCGAGGATTGATGGGCTCAGAGATTGTGGAGGACCATTCCGTCATTCGATGGATGACAATTTCTCTCCATAGTGGAGTCTGAGGTTCCCCTTGTGCTAGGTGAGAACATCCAATATAAACACTGAAAAAGAGTCATTTGGACAACAGCATGTTCCACTTAGTGGCAACTTACAGATTTCTTATTTTTTTCTCAAAGAATAAATCTGCTAAAAGGTCCACTGTTGAATTGGGATGGATGAGCCTTTTAATAGAAACTTTGAAAGGGAGTGGAAATTTATGGCTCCTTGTAAATAGCCTGACATGAACGTTCAGATCAATAGTGTTTTATTCAGCCACACCATCGAAGCTGAACCAATGGGCAGGAGTCTTTCCTCCTCATCTAATAGTGCTCGATACCAAAATTTCTTTCTCAGGTCTAGTGTTCTCTTATTTAGTGGTAGTATAACAAAGTTCCCTTAACTGTGTAGGCATTTAGTAATTATCACAGTAATTTGATAGGTATTTTGGTCCTTGAGATATGATTGGTTCTCTAACCTCGTCCCCCCCCCTTTAAAAAATTTTATTTATTTATTTGGGAGAGAGAGAGAATGAGAGAGAGCACGAGAGGGGAGAAGGTAGGAGGGAGAAGCAGACTCCCCATGGAGCTGGGAGCCCGATGTGGGACTTGATCCCAGGGCTCTGGGATCATGACCTGAGCCGAAGGCAGCCGCCCAACCAACTCAGCCACCCGGGTGCCCTCGAACCAGGTCCCTTATCCCATGTTCCTTAACACAGGAGAACGTCACTCCATCCCATTTGTGCAAGTCGGAATCCTTGACTGCTCTCTTCTTTCTCGTCCTTGCCCAGAATAAATGCAGCACCAGGTTCTATTGCCTTTTCTTTTTTAAGGTTTATAATTTTTTTTAGAGAGAGAGAGAGAGAGAGAGAGTATGTGTACATGACCAGGTGGAGGGGCAGGGGAAAGGGAGAGAGAGGAGAAAATCTCTGACAGACTCCCCATTGAGCGTGGAGCCCCACACGGGGCCCAATCTCACGATGCTGAGATCATGACCTGAGCCGAAGCCAGGAGTCAGACGCTTAACGGACTGAGCCATCCAGGCGCCCTTGGGTCCGATTGCTTTTACTTCTTAAATATTTATTGAACCTCCCACTTCTCCCTCATGGCCACCGCTCTAATCCAAGCTCCCTCACGGCTGCCGAGCCCACCGCAGAAGCCACCGCGCCCACAAACAGTGTGATCTTTTACACGCATACCTACCAACCTCCAGGGATCGCCTGATGTTCTTAGGATAACAGCCAAAGTCACTTTCGTGGACCGTAAGACACTGCAAGGACTGGTGTCTGTCTCTCCCTCCAGCCTCATCTGGAAACAGTCTCCTCCTGGCTCACTATGCCCCCCCCAGCCTCCTGGCCTCCAAGGGCACTCAGTTTCCTCTACCTGGGTTCTCGAACCTGCTGGCTTCTACGCATACTTTGTATATCAGCCCCGGTGTGATTTCCTCATGAGTGCCTTTCCTGATCTGGCCTAGAACTTTCCTTTTCTACACTCTGATAGACCCATGTGCCGTCACCTCACTGTGTTTATAATTAGACACTCCGCTCTGTTGTTTTTTGGTTAATCTGTGTCTCTATGACCAAATAAAAACTGTGAGCAGAGACCATGCCCCAAAATGCTCATTATCAAATCCCTAGCACTTGGCTTAGAGAAAAGGCGTTGCTCAGTACACTTGAAGTAATCAGTGGCTGATTATTTTTTACGGAGTGTTTAGGTAGAGGAAGAAGAACCCACCGGATACATTCGATATGAGAAATTTCTTCCAGTGATGACCGAAGTACTGCTGGAAAGAAGGTAAGAAAGTACATGTAATTGTTAAGGTGAAGCAGTGATTAGAATTATGTTAATTTCAAAACACTTGGCTTTTTCACTGTGTGTGTTATACTCAGCCAAATATTTATCCTGGGATCGCTTCCCTCTGACTTTTTGCTATACTTCTGAACTGCCAGGTGAAGTGTGCTTAGAAATATCAACCACGGGGACACCTGGGTGAATCAGTGGGTTAAAGCCTCTGCCTTCGGCTCAGGTCATGATCCCAGGGTCCTGGGATTGAGCCCCGAGTCGGGCTCTCTGCTCAGCAGGGAGCCTGCTTCCTCCTCTCTCTCTCTGCCTGCCTCACTCTCTGTCAAATATATAAATAAAAATCTTAAAAAAAAAAGAAATATCAACCATGTTTGTATTAATCTCATAAGCAAAGTGTGATCACAGAGCAAAAAGGCCACACAGGGCACAAATCAACAACGTATTTATTATCTTCTATTGTGAGCTCTCAGTGAGAATTCACCCTAATTCTTTTTCTAAGGAACGTGTAGTGTTAGTTTACCACAGTTGGTTTATTGTAGAAACTTTGTTTCCAAATATTTTCATAATGATGAGAAAGGCTAACAGATATCTTCACGTAGGCCAGTGAATTTGAACTCAGTATCTTCTGTGGCTGTGGAGTGCTTTCAACTTCCAGAAATTTCTTTAACTTCTAGAAATCCAAACATGTTTCAATGAGGGAAGTATTATTATCCTTGCATATCTGTAGGCTTTATTTCATTTTATGTGATCATTTATTGTGTAGAGACTGAGCTAAATACTATGGCGTTTCTCCTTTTACCACATGATTAGATACAGACCAATTCCAGAAGATACACTGCTTCGAGCATTTGAGGTGTGTAAGCTCCAGATTTTACATATATTTATATGAAAAATTCATCCTGTAGAGTACATTCACCAAGCAAAAAATAGAATATCTACCCTTCTTTTCTGTTAGGTGTTAGATCCATCTAAACGTGGATTTCTCACTAAGGAAGAACTGATCGAGTATATGACTGAAGAAGGTACGAGGCATTTATTATGCATTTTATAACTGTGACTTATTTAAGTGATTAATAATTTAACAACAATTATGGAAAAATTCTAGGAACACTTTTAAATCAATCATTCAGGTTCAAAGAGTTATTTATGGTTCCTATTATTTTGGTATTGGAGTGGTTTCTGTTTTGTGGGGTAAGTGGACAAAGGGTAGGTTAAAGAAAGATTGATTTTTGCCTTATAGAATTTTACAACATATAAAGATTCTGCTGTAAATTGAAGTCACTCCATTCAGTTAGAGTATTTTTCAGAATAAAAGCTATGCCACTTGGAAAACATGAGCTGTCAATCAGTAGAAATCAATGCCTGTTACTAGATTGAAGATTTGAATTGGATTATATAAAAATTCCTTTTTGAAGAGCTTTTCAGTTGATGAACTTACAGATAATGCAGCCTCCATTGAATGGAATCCACACAAAAACTTACAGCTTTTTCTGCTGGTGGAACTCTGTATTTGCTTTGACCTTGACCTATGCACACACACACACGTAGCCGTCATATCTGCTCAGCTCTCTGGGCCGCCATGTTTCCTGGAGGCGCTCGCTCTCTGCTTCGGCTGATGTGTTTGTTTTCCCTGAATGTCAGTGGCCTAATGGGCGTTCTCTTGAAACCATGCCCCTCTTGGTCACCTCCCCAGTCTCCCATCTCTTCTGTTCAGTTCACTGGTTTCCAGATTGAGCCCAGTGTGATTCAGAGTTGTTGCAATCGCTTGAGGCGGAATCAAAAGTGCAGCCAATTGTGAGGGGGGGAGACAAACACCGCGTCTGCCTGCGTCGCTGGCTGACCACATCGGCCTCACCCACCGCGATGTGGGGCTACGGACAACGAGGGCAAGAGTGACATGGCCGTCACAGCCACCACCAAGCTCTGGGACACTGTAACAAATGTCTTAGGGGTTCTCTTTGATGGGAAGGGAATGGCTTTCAAAGCATCAACTTCTTAATCCTAAAGATTAATTAAGGGGAGTGAATCCTGGATTATATGAGGCAATGAATTTAGTCAAAATGGCCAGAAAGAGTTCATTGTCATTAATAGGGTGACCTGCTGTGTGGAGGTGAGGGGCACTAAGGGCAGTGAGAGGGACTCAAAGCTCCATTTCTCTAGGATATTAGACTGGGGGGAAGAAAGGTGACGTGAAACAATTCACAGCATAAGACAGTGGATTCTTGGGACGGTAGGCTTCATGTGGGTGAGTTACTGGGAGCAGGGCTGAAGTCTTACACGTTCCAGTGCCCGCCCAGTCAGTCTCAGCAAGTCTGTGTTGAATGAATGAATGAATGCGCAGATGAACGAAGAATGTGTGAAGGGGTCGATGAAGAGAGATGCCCTTGATCACACGGTGTGAACAGTAGCGGGGAGCTGGGGTGAGTGTGATACTGTGATATCCTGGAGTCTGTGAGGGGAGAGGACCCAGAGGTCTCGCTGGCAGCCAGCAAGAGACAAATCTGGGGACGTGTGTAGACTGGCCCATTGAGGCCTGGGCCTGGGGGGCTGGAAGTCTCCATGTGGGCACCGCAGAAGCCTTGTAGGGTGCTGGCCCATGGGCCTCACAGTGCAGGAGAGGGTGTTGGACAGAAAGAAGCGATAGCTACAGCAGGACCGTGTGCAGCAGGACCCGTGGGTCTCGGTGAGTCACGGAGTGCAGGGGACAGAGGTGGGCGCTGGGGCCGGAGTGATGGGTCTTTGACCTTGGTGATGGGATCAAGGTGATGCTGCTAACTGACTTAGAGAAATCAGGAGCGGGCTACCGTGGATGCAGCGTGACTGTTCGCCATGTCTACACAGTCTTAGTCAGGCTGGGGTGATGCCTTCTGAAGGCCCAGGATGTCACGTGACGAATGTGACAAACCACGTGGACTCAGATTCCTGCAAGTCGTCCAGGCGTGTGTATGGTGTCAGACAGTATTTAGGAACAGGGAAGGTCTCAAAAAACATTTTTTTTAAACAAACCCACATTGCCACCCACATGCCATGCAATATTCTAAGTGATATTTCAATAATAACGTTTCTCGTGCTCATAACGCCACATTCAGTCGGCCCTGTTATTATCACTTCATTCTACAGACAGGAGACCTGAGGCTCAGAGAGTCGAAGTGACTTGCCCAGCTTTTGAACCCAGGCTGTCCGCCTCCCAGGACTGTGTTCTTAATCATGAAGCTAGTCTCCTTCCAACCTTAATCAAATACTGCATATCTCCTTCCTTGCCCAAGGAAGCAGCGTGGCTGCCTTCTGGATTTTGCTGTGAGCAAGGCCTTGTTCTGAGCAGTCGAGTGCGGCCCTGGAGTTCATGCACCTTGAGGTGGACGGCGGTATCCAGATCCCAGCTCTGCCTCTCACTGGCGGTGGGGGAAGCAGCCTCGCATCTGTGTGCTGGTGTCCTCTACTCCTCCTTTTTCTTTTTAAGATTTATTTATTTATTTGAGAGAGAGAACAGCGGCGGGGGCGGGGGAGCAGTGGGAGAGGGAGAAGCAGACTCTCCACTGAGCAGGGAGCCTGATGTGGGTCTTCTGTGGGACTCGATCTCACGACCCTGAGATCTTGACCTGAGCTGAAATCAGGAGACGGATGCTTAACAGACTGAGCCTCCCAGGTGCCTCTGGTGTCCTCTTCTGTAAGTGGGGTAGCAGTTCTTACTTCTAATGAGGTGGCTGGGCGGTTAACTTAGTGAACATATCTGAAGCACATAGGTCAGTATCTAGAACACAGCCGTTCTCGAGAAATGCTTGTTACTAGCATACTTTTAAGGACTTCTGTGGTGCCCATCAGAATTCACTGGCAGTGGATGTAGCTGGGTATAAGAGAGATTCAGAATCATCTCCATAGGCTCTGTAGGCATTCTTTTCTTAGGATGTAAGGACAGTTTCAAGGACTCGACACACTCCCCTTGTTTGATCGTCTATCATCGTTGTCATCATGATCCCCAGGTGAATAATTTCTGTGGTACGAGCTGACTTCCAGCCTAGAAAGGATTGTTCATAGGGGCAGGTGACAAGCTCAGAAGGTGAGCGATCCACAGACCTTGGTAACTCACCTGCTCAGAGAAGACTCTTTGGGGGGAAAGTGGTGATTTGGATGTTTCTGTATTTTTACTTAATATCAAGACAAAATTCTTTCTTATGTACTCGGCGACATTTCCAATATTCCTCCTGAGTTTGCTTCTCATCTTGGTGAAACTGATGTCCGAGACGATCCTCAGCTGCTCTCTGAATCCAGCGAAAGCCACAGATGTTCTATGCCGCTTCTGGTTCCGTTTGACAGCAACACTGGGCCAAAGCTGTAACAAAGAGGGCCCTTTAGACACGGTGGACAAATGGCATCTGTCCCTGGGCTCAGCTGGTGTCATGAAGTGTCCAGACCTGGTTAGGGGATATTCGGAGATACGGTGGTTGCAGTTCGAGCCTCCGCTCTTCAACAATTTTGCATTGAGACCGGGTGGTCCCATCCTCACACCCTTGCGAACATAATGATAAGATGCCCTAGAAAACTGGGACTTCAGGTGAATCCTTAGGCAATCCCAATAGCCTTAATTTAAAGAAACAGCCTTGTTCAGGATGTCTTAATGTTCTTCTGCTGGGTTGGCTCAAGTGATCGATTTCATAGGTTGCTTGAGCTACGACATCCACAAGGTAAATAAGTCCCAGATCTGCCAGGGGCACAGCAGCAGCTCTTGGAATCTCCGGACTGGGTTGACATGTTGACCCCAGGGCTCCGGGAGGGGAGCCAGCAACCCAGCAGGGACCTGGGCAGCTCCAGGGCAGGGGAAGTTGGCTGATGGAAGGAGAAAGAAAATGATCAGAAGATTGTCGGTGATGAAACTTTCTTCTTGTCCTTCCCAGGTGAGCCTTTTTCGCAGGAAGAAATGGAAGAAATGCTGTCTGCTGCCGTTGACCCAGAATCGAATTGCATTCATTACAAGGACTACATAGCCATGATGGTGGTGGACGAGAGCTAGGTACCCTGGAGACTCATTGAAAGGATGACTATAGACATGGCCTGTCCTCGTTAATTTCACATCTTATAATTAATGCCCAGTGACAACTATTTTGCAGTACTTTGGATTGTAAAGATGAGCACCAATTTATTTGGTATGTCTAGCCTTATGGAATGACCAATGGCTAATTATTTTAAAGCTTGTTCTTAAAAACATTTTAACATTATCTGTGGATTGTTGTGGATTTTCTACAATAAAACCCCAGTGACCTTCAAATTCATTATGCTGACAAAATGAAGAACGACCAGAGTGACCCCAGGTTGGGCATAGAAAGATCTTGGGAGGGGACAGAGTGAGCACAAAGTGAGGGCCAGTATCAACGTGCTGAAACAAACAACAAACAACGAACCTTCAACATCGGGATGGGAGGGGGTTGTTGAAAGGAATATTAGTAATTAACCCCTTACGAGTGTCATTTATAAATCTCATCTGAAATGTTAGTAACTTAGTGTGACAATGTAAGTGTGCTGATTCAGTGTGTTACCATTTGCAGAGCAGGTAACGGAGTTGAGGTCATTGACTCTAGAGACAAGAAGACTGAATGGAAATTGACAATGTAAGGGAGTGGCCATACTCTTCTGGTCTTTCGAATTCTTAGCTGTTCTCATCGAATTTAAGTTGAAAAATAAACAAAAGAATTCTTAGCTGTTCAGAATAATTGCTGTGAGAATATTGTTCTGAATACTGAATAAGAATATTGAGAAATTGTGTGGTACGCATGAGCGACAGCAGTGGGAAAAGCAGAATGAAGTCTGAGCACAAGGAATCACAATGAAGAAAGACCCAGGGACTCAAAGGCAGAGGGGAAAATAACGTGAAGGAAAATGAATAATCTCCCATAACCTGTGTATTCTGTCATGTGTACACGGTGATCCCTATTTGAAGATGCTTCCCCCCAGCATTTGATGTTGCTTATGATGCTTCCTTCTAGGCATGCAGGATGGGGGCTGCTAATGGAGAGGTAATTTGTCACTGTTTGTTCCTTGGAACATTTCCTGAGTGTTATTAGGTACTGTGTTAGGAACTGGAGCTGCGCGGGGGCTGTAACTCATTGAGGTCACAGTTCAGTGAAGGAGATCTGCAAGTCAGTCAGCAACCACATTTCAGGCTAGGGCACATTCAGGATGCTGTGGAAGTGCAAAAGAGGGGCAGCTCACTCGGCCTGGGGGGTGAGTTTCTGGCGAGAAAATGGTCTATCGAGCAGAAAGGACCTCCCAGATCAGGCGACACTGACAGAGGCGAGTAGTTCACTAAGCTGGTGATGGGACACAGGGGGTTTCCACGGGGGAGCAGCAAGTACAGACACCCCAGGGGTGTCATGAAACAGGGAGCACTCTGGGAATTGAAGGTAATGTAGATGTGGGGAACACGATGAGAGATGAAACTGGGGTGGTAGACAGGAGCTATACCATTGAGGATATCGGGTTGGTCATACAGTTGGGTTTTCTTGTTAGAATCTGGATTTTTTTCTAAAGATCACAGAGAAAGATCCTTTGTAAATCATGTGGAAAATGATCTCGAAGAGTCGAGACCAGAAGCAGGGAGACCAGGTGGTAAGGGAGCTGGTTGGTGGAAGGGGTAGGTTGGGAAGAGTCCAGCAGGTGGCCAGGGGTTGGACGATAGAGCCATTTATTTAGTGAAGAAATCAAGAAGCAGGTCAGGGTCGGTGGACAAAATGGGGAGTTTGGCGGTAGATCAGGGAGCCAGTGAGGTACCTAGGGGAGACAGCCGATCAGTTGGAGCAGTAGGAGGAAGATCTGGCAAGAGAGATGGATTTTGGAGGTTCCAACATGTAAGTAGTAGTTAAGGAAAAAAGTAGTAGAAGAGTGGTGCAGGGAAGAAGAGTGTCAGCAGCCCAGGGGGGACATCAGCATTTAAGGGCGGGCAGGGGAGGACGAGCCCACGAGGGGCAAGGAGGAGAGGATCCAAGGAGAAGACAAGGGCCATAGAGAGGGCAGGTAAGTTGAAGACGGAAAATGTCCACCAGTTGGGGCAACCGAGTTCACGGGTGGCTTCTGAGGAGCCAGTTTGGTGAGTGACGGGGTGAAGGGTCGTGGCTGGAGGGCCAGAAAGCTTCAGGACCGTGAGCACGAGGACAGGACTGGAGAGAGCTGGCAAGATGGAGGGGGTATTTGCAGGAGCGCGGGCACCCACGGGTGTTTGTGCTCTCCCCGGAGGAAGCAGGAGGAGCCGGATTGCAGAGCGAGGAAAGGGTTGCCTTGGGACGGCTTGGAGCGCCGAACCAGCGTGGACAGCTCCTTCCCAATGGCCTCTCTCATGTTTGTACTGAGGAAGAAGGTGATGGGTTACAGAGCAGGAGATGAGCGATCTGTGTAAGGATTTTCAGGGACTCCTGGAGGATTTTGCCCAATAACTCAGGCTCAGGAGCAAACACGGTGGGTTGCTGTGTCGGCTCAGGGTTCGGGTTTTGTCAGCTGGGATGGAAGGAAGCGAAGGTCAAGGCAGTTGGGTCCAGCAGCGCGCGGGGGTAGTGATGGCCCTTGGAGCCTGCGTGCTAGGGTCAGAGGCAGGGAGGAGAGCTACCAGACTGAAAGGGGCAGGGGTCTGGGGACCTCCACTGCAGCAACCAGTATAGCAGGAGGGGAGGTGGTGACGGGCTCCCCTGCCATTCCCGGGTAATAACCCAGGCTGCTGGAAGTTTGACTTCACTTTGTCCTTAGGGTCATTCCATTTACAAATAGCAAACATGGATGCGGGCAAGGAATCATCACTTATGGAAGGTGTAGCGATGGGACCCAAGATGAAACCCAAGTGCAGGGTTGGCTTAGCCACGTGTGCGAGAGTCACTTCCCAGATGGGGGTCTGAGCCCCATGCCTTTAGGTCAGAGCGGAGCAGCGTGGGGAGGGGGCATGGTGACCCTTCGGAGAGCTCGGACCCCTTGGGGACACACTGCAGCCGCTGAGGATGGTGGCAGGGATGTGACAGGTCCTCGAAGGCGGCGCCTCCAAGGGCACCTCGTTGGGCAGCATGGGCCAGCCCCAGCATGCCACGGTGATGCGTGTGCTGGTGCCCAGGGCGGAGACCCAGGTGTGGACTTGTTTAGACACACGGGTGGTTCCAGGTTCTCTTCTAGAAGCCTGTTGCCCTGCATGACCCTTGCGTCCGAGAAGCACAGTTTAGTGAGTTAACCCCGACATATTCATCATCTTTCTGAGGACCGGTGCTCCCCTAGAAGGACGCCTCAGGATCAGCTACTCCCTTCTAGAATTCTCCTGAAAGTTTTGACTGATGTCCAGCTGCAAAACCTGTCTCAAGGAAATTCCAGTAGTCATAAGAGTTAGCTCTTTGGAATCTGATTCATTTATCTTTAGCACAAATTTGTCTTGTTTTTTTTTTTTTTTTTTTTTTTTTTTTTAAGGCCTCCAAAAAGGAGCAACACAGACTTCCCACAGAAATCTGGTTGTATCCCCCAGTTCCAGAATAAATGTGGCAGAGTCACAAAGGGAACATTTGTCTTTCTACTCAAGCCATTTCGGTTCATCTTTTACCTCTCTCTCCCACTTAGCCCCCAGTCTCTGGTTTCAACCACAGGGCATTTTCCTGGCAAGAGGGGTGCTTGGTGTCTTGTGCAGGGTCTGCTTGTCCTTGTGACCCTGGCTTCTGGAGCGCCTGCCACACCCCCCAGCTCTGCTGGGCCTCGTGCGGAGACAGCTTTGCCCTGTGTTGCCCGTGACTCACTCTGGTCAGGTGCCCCCTCCTGTGCACCCTGCCTGGAAAACAGAGCCCAGCTCAGCTTCCCGCGCCTTCCCAAGCGTCCAAGCGCCAGATGCTAAGAGGCAAAGAGAACGTCCAAGACGGTTGGCTGGTTTGGGATCTCCACTGGCAGGATTATTTTCTGTGGCATGCGATGCATCGAGATCTTTCTCTCTGCCTTCCAACTTTCCCTCCTTCACCTTTTCTAGTTGTTTTCGGGTTAGAGAGCGCCTTGTTCCTACAGCCACTTCCCTGTAAAGGGTCAGTGTCACTACACTGCCTCTGGGCACTTTAAAGAAGCCAAGAGCCCCCGGTCACATAGCCCCCAACCTCATGCTGGACGGGGCGGCTGTGTGAGTCTGCAAGTTGGGCCAGCAGTCTCCTGCATCAGAATACCTGGGAGGGGTATATATTAGAAATCCGGGCTCCTGGGTCCCATCAGGCCCCAAGACCAAATCTCTGGGACAGTATTAGATTGCACAGTCAAGTGTGGGGTTTGGAGCTGGGCTTTGCCACAGACCGACAAGGCAGTGGGTGCAGACATTTAATACTACTGGGTCTCTGTGTCCCAATTTATGAAGTGGGAAGAATGCCAACCTTGTCGGACTGGTGGGAAAATCAAATGGATAATAAAGGTGAAAATTCTTTAAAGGGTATAAGGCATGGCACAAATCTTATTTATAGGAAACCAGCCTGGGTAGGGAGGAAGTAGTGAAGGAGGAAGAGGAGAAAGGGGAGGGAAGGGGGGAGGAGAGGAGGGAGTGGACCGCTGCCTGGGTAGGCAGGTAGGTAATAATGTATTTGATCTATGGGCCGAGGGTAGAGAGCCACCTAAGTCACTGCTGGTAGAGATAACAGGAGATTTGCTATCCTGGTGCTGCTAATTATAAGCTCTTAAGTTTACTTCTAGATTGTGAAATTAGGGGTTTTAGGCAGCACTTGGTCTTTTTTTTTTTTTTTCTGAAAACTGCAGTAAAAAATCCCCAACAGTATAAAATGAACCATCTTAATCATTGTCCAGTGTACCGTTCAGTAGTGCGGAGTGTATGTACGTTCTTGTGAAACAGATCTCCAGAACCTTTTCGTCTTGCAAATCAGAATTTTATACCCATTAGACAACACCCCTTTCCCCCCTGCCACTAGCAGATACCATTCTGCTTTGTTTCTGTGCATTTGACGACTACGAGTTAGATACCGCTTGTAAGTTGAATCACACAGTATTTGTCTCTTTGTGACTGGCTGATTTCACTCCGCATCCTGTCCTCAAGGCTCATCCATGTTGGAGCAGGTGTCGGGATTTCCTGCCTTTTAAAGGCAGGCTGAAACTCCGTCGTCCATACTTACCGCGTTTTGCTCCTCCATTCGTTTACTGGTGGGCATCCAAACTGCTTTCACGTCGTGGGGCACTGGCATGGCTCTGTTGGTTGGCGTCTGATTCTTGGTTTTGGTGCAGGTCATGATCTCAGGGTCAGAGATCAAGCCCCATGTGGAGCCCCAGATCTGTCTCCCTGGTCAGCAGGAAGTCTGTTTGAAGAGTCTCCCTCTGCCCCTCCCCCAACTGGTGTGCTCACACTTTCTCTCTCTCAATAAATAAAAACTCTTTTAAAAAGTGGTACTATTAGGGGCGCCTGGGTGGCTCAGTGGGTTAAGCCGCTGCCTTCGGCTCAGGTCATGATCTCAGGGTCCTGGGATCAAGCCCCGCATCGGGTTTCTACTCAGCGGGAAGCCTGCTTCTCTCTCTGTCTCTCAAATAAATAAAATCTTAAAAAAAAAAAAAAATTAGGGGTTTTGTGATCTGAATGCTTAGTTTTTATTCTTATTTTTTTTTTTAAATTTGATTTATTTGAGAGAGAGCATGAGCATGGGGAGGGGCAGAAGGAGAGAGAGAAGCAAACTTCCCCCTGAGGAGGGGAACCA